TAAATCTGAGTTACGTAAATATGTAACACATATTTAATTTAGATTTGTGTAATGTTAATCTTACTAAAATATTAAATTTTTATAAAAATCTTAATTTAGACTAATTCCAAAAATCGGCACATATGTTGCTGATCATTTCCTAAATTTTTTTAAAAGTGATTGGCAAAATTAATTATTCATAAGTAAAGTTAAAACTGACATTCAAAAGCACCTTTGATGTCTTAAATAAACTTGTAGAGTAGGAAAAAATCCATTTATCTACTAATTTTGAAGTTTATACTATTAATCAAAATAGCAATAATCATATGACCCAGGTTCAAACACCCTGTGTTCAAATAAAAATTGCCTAAATAAATATAGTGTAATTTTATAAAAAATTTATTTATTTAAATACTATTAAAAAAAAGAAAAATTTTATTATATAAAATAATTGTAATTTTAATTAATATTATAAATTTTATTTAAATTATACTATTATATATAATTATATAAAAAGTATTTTACTTGTATAATTATACTTATAATAGAATTTTAAATATTTAATATATAGTAAAATTTATAATTAACTTTTTACTAAAATTAACTTTTTTTATTTTTTATTTTTTTGCAATTATCTTAGTATTTATTCTATAAAGTATTTATATTTAAAATATATTTAAAATAAGAAAATTTTTTAAAATACACTAGTATGTGTAGTGCTCCTAACAGATCAGATCAGATTTTACTAAGATTCAATCTGATCTGAAATTAATTAAATCTGATCTGATCTGATCTGATCTGATTCAAAACTGATTAAATCTGATCTGATCTGAATCTGATCTGATTTGATTTGAATCTGATTTGAATCTGAATAAATATGTTATAAATTCTAAAGCTATAATTTGTAAATATGTAATTCGGCCAGAATTATGCACTTAACTCCGGCAGGAATTATGGATTTTCCTAAAAAGGAATTAAGGTTACACAAAATGCCAAAGTGGTTCCTATAAAAATCGATTTTTGTGGAACGGCTATCACCAAAAAAGGAAATGATCGACATATCCGTTTTGGAAAATTATGAATTAATTCCAGCCGGCATTATGAATTCGGCTGAAATTATTAGTAAAATCAAATCTGACAGATACAATCTGATCAGATTCAGATTTTAAATAAGCCTAATCTGAATCTGATCTGATCTGATCTGATTTGATCTGAAACTAATCTGATTTGTTCAGATCAAATTTTTTTTGATCTGAATCTGAACTGCAGATTAAATTTATCTGATCTGATCTGAATCTGACAGATCAGATTCAGATCAAATCTGATCAGATCAGATTTTTTTCGGAGTACTAACTGTATGCGAAATACAAGTCACATGACTTTAATTTGTAACCCATATCACACCCTTCTAGTTTTCCATTTTTACTATTTATTCTAGGGACTTAGAATTTTTTCAGTAAAAAACCTTATTTATCACATATTATATGTCATACCCCCATAATTTTGGCCAAATTTATAATTCCAGCCAAAATTTATCTGAATTTCCA